GTAGGAGCAACTCTTTCTTCGAGCGAGGTCACTCGAAACAACAGTTCTGCGATTGGCAACCCATCCAGGCGGTTGCCCATTGCGTCGACTTGGACGACTTTCTCACTCAGTTCGGTCACCCGTGTTTCCAGGAAACGGAGGGTGTCAGGGACTTCTTTGAGGAACATCATTTCCTCCTCTATTAGCGTAAGCCGTTCGGCTTGTGCTTTGGGTGTCGACTTTGTCGTCGACATGGTCTCGGTCTGTATGACGTTACGGAGCTAACAAAGCTCTGATACCACTTGACACAATCGCGCTTTCGAAGGCAGCGGACTAGCGATTGTGCGGCACTCACTTTCTAGCAACAAGTGAGTTCAGCCTATTTGTTCTTGCGTCGCCTACGGCCAAGCGACGTACGGTCAAGCCTCTAGCCTCGGTTTTAAAAGAAGGTTTTAGAAAACGAAGAGAGAGAGAGATTTTAGAAAGAGAGATTTTAGAAAGAGACGTTATATAAGCAAGCAAGAGAAAGATAACAACGGCTTAGCATATATAACCTTAGGTAGGGAGAAGTTGACGACTAGTCATATCCCCCTATAGTACATTCTGGGCCATTTTAGTTCTGGCAGGCCTAGACATGATATTTTTGAGGTGTCATACGCTTTAGAATTACAAAAGGAAAAACACTAGAATGAAAAGACATGACAAGGGTTTGGCTTGTCATGGGCATGCGGCCATGGGCAACATGCTCTGGACAAGCATGACCGTGACACCGGACACGCGTCGACCCCCGGTTGGAGCAACACAGCTCCAGCGAGGCGATGACACGTGTTGCCTGCAAGCCGGGCCGAACCGCAACCGCGAGTCGAGCCGAGCCGGACCAGTCCGGGCGACCCGTGACTGCACAAAAGCAGGCGCGCGTGACCTCGCACTCCCAGCGCATTGCTGGCGCGTGAGGGCGCGTGGACGGTCCGTTTTGGCCCGATTTCTCTCTGTTTGCCTGATTTTGTCCCGGTTCCAGTTCTAATACTGTTTTTACGTGAATAGGGACCTAATTTAAAGAAATCAGTATTTTTGGACACCTCACGGGCAAAGAAACGCTAGCAAAAAGGCACGCGTCAACCAGGTAAGTCACCACCTGGTATCTAGGAAGAAATACTTGTGGGATTCACTTGGATTGCATGCGTGTTTGTAGTTTAGCTTCAGATTAGCTCTCCATGTAAATTATTACTCAGATTAATTGTTATGATTGTATTAGGTGAATTACATGAGTGTTGTTGTATGCTTTAAGCTTCCGACGTATGTATGCATGCGTTTAATTTATGTTAGAATTGTGTATGTCGTGTTCCAGGTGCTTGATGGACGAATTCGCCCCATTGAGCGCGAACTTCGTGCTCTGGGTGCTTGATGGAGGTCATCGCCCCGTTGAGCCGGTATGACTAGTTTGCATGAATTACATACTATGATGTTAGAAGAAGGTTGCATGCACACTCTGTTATTTGCTAGGGCCCATTTCTATGATAAGCTTAGGGAATTATTGCTAGGAGCGATATGTCGCTCCAGCCAGACTGAATTTTTCCCTAGGAACTTAGCGGTTTACCACGGCAAGAAAGTACCTCGGAGTGTTCATAGATTGCTAGTGTGAGAACGGTATCTATAGCTTCGTGGGAGGACTAAGGGTCCCTGATCAGTCCTTACTGCTCATAGCCATTTCGCATGGGAAATGTGTCCCCACGTCGTACAGCCCATTAGCTACATGGGAACGGGTTGGGCCGCGCCCCCCATTGGGGGACTATATGGGCGTAGGGGTATTCAACACACCCCTAGGCTAGGTACCATGTAGTCCCAGATAGCCATGTAGAGGTAGCACCTCATAGAGAGATACCGACCATATTAGCTTGACGTAAGGAACCTCTAGGCGTTTAATGAAAGGACGATGAACCGGTGAAACCCAAGGGGCAAGCCCCAAGGGACTAAGATTAGAACCAGATGTCCTAGAACCGAATTAGAAACCGTGGGAACCTGTTAAATTAAGATGCGAAGAGAGCCTACAAGTAGGTGGCTTACTGAGTATAATTTTTTCTACTTTTTTTTTTTTGTCAGGTGCCGGTCGAGGTGGAGGAGCGTTCGAGAGCTGTGCGGTCACAGAGAGGGTCGTTCCAGAGTGTTAGTCCCTTGTCAGTCTTTTAGAGTATTTTGCAAATTTTTTTATATTTGTATTTTATTTCCTTTTTGTAAACTTAAATCCTCTTCTGAAATATTTGAAAATTACACTCCCCTTTCTTCTATTTTAATTTTGCGGGATTTTCATCTTTTTATTTTCTTTTCTTTTTGTTTGTTTTCGCTTTCGTCTTTTGGGTCACGGTCCGAGCTTCGAAGCCTCGAAAATCGGGTCGTGACACCTATAGAGATTATCAGATGGCATAGTTCAATGTCATTTAGTATCAGAACTACCAGCCGCATTCAATTCTGCTACCATGCTTACAAAATCAATTATCCATTTTGGTTTATCAAGTGGTGGAATATCTTTGGATCTGCCAAAGATATCTTTCCCGTTCCAATACAAGAATCATTTCATTACTTCCATCAAAATATCTTCAAAACTCCATTCCCATTGACTATGATATATTTTCAAATTCCTGAATCCATTCCAAGATAAAAGAAACTGAAGATCAGGTAAAACAGGTCTTCAAGATAATCAAAATCAAATTGTGGAACAAATACACTTGTACCCAGGCAGATCTCAAAGTAGTGAAGGTTTGGTTATCTGAAAATGACCACCTTTAAGATTGATCTAAATTGAAACCACCTAGTTTGGTTATCTGAAAATGACCACCTTTAAGATTCATCTAAATTGAAACCACCTAGTTTCTCAATTCAAAATGTTAGCCCACGCAACTTACTGATTTCCAAAAACTTCTTGGAGAGGCTGTCATCAGTCCCTTCGACCTCTTCTCTCTCTTCTCTCCCTCTATAGTAGTAGAAGGTACCATCTATGATCAATGATTCATGTTTGGATTTTCAACCACCGTGTCAATAATCTCCATCTACAAAAGACTGAATAATCGTTAAACTATTTGTAAAAAAAAAAAATCCGAAAATTTATCTTGACATGTTTTCCCCTTGTCTTCTTTCCCTGTATCATTTCTTCTTTTCAAATTTGTCTTTATGACAAATTATTTCTTTTTTGATTTCCTATCACCTCTTTTCCAATTTGTCTCCGGTATATTACTTATTCTAAATTATTATTTGTAAAAATCTAATGTATTTTACTTTCTCTAGAATAGATTAATTGTATCTGTTCAAACTCAACCTAATTCTTCTAAACTTGCTTTGCTCCTAGGTTCAACTTCACGGTCCAATTTCAACTACCTTATTTCGTCCATTCATAAAATTAGGCTTAAAGCATATGTCATTCCTAGATTAATTCAAAATAATGCTAATAATATTAAATTGTCTATTATGCTGACTTTTTTTTTTTCCCACTAATTGCATTACACTGAAATAAATTCACTAACCTAATAGAATTTGACCTCCCTTATCCCTTAAAGCAACAAAAATGGAGGAGGTAAAAAAAGATATGTTAATTAATCAAAGGCCTAATTGATCATTGAGTTTGTATTGTAAATATGCAATAATGCATTGTAAAATGAGTTTAGTTCATGTTGGGCTCGATTAGCTACAGTGAAATATGTCCAATAAGCTAATTGGGACCATATTCAATGGGGATGTCAGGCTTATATACACGTACTTTTAGAGTAGGGAGGAATGAATTCTAACGGAAAAAGAGAGGAAGGAAGGTTCTTTTAAGGCGTTGACAAACTAAACTCTTTGATGCATTAAACTATGTGTATATAAGAGATCTATGCTTTATTCTAATTCTTTTTATCATATTTTGGTTTACCCTATGGGTCTATCTTACCCATGTGCTGGCAAACTTGCATTAAAAAAAAACATAGCTTGTAGGCAAGGCATTGAAAACCTCCGCTCTGCTAGCATCTAGGCTGCTTTATGTAGCTATATCCCTTAGGGTTTAGCATCCAGAAAGTCACGCAACAAGCTATCAAACAATCAGCCGTGAGCTCCGGAAAGGAAAGAAAGAACTCCAGCACATGTGTATCCACTCATGTGGTATTTCATTGTACGATAGACCTATTATTTCAAAATAATCAATTTATTAATGACGGGATGAAACTAAGAAATAATCAATCACGTGCGAAATTATAGAAGATCTCCTTTAAGACCAAATATTGATATCTTCTTTTTATAAAGTAACTCGACTTTGATTCTTGAATAATCCACCTCAAGAAATCAATTAGACATGCAGGTTTACAACATTTCATTTGATGGTCCGAGGAAATTTGAAAGCTAAGCTGGTATCACTCAGTTGGTAGAGTAGAGGACTAAAAAACTTCGTTTCAATGGTTTGTTATTAGAATAAATAAAAATCCCTCCCAACAACTCATGAATTAAGAATTCTCGCAACAAGGTCTACTACACCCGTGGCAGCTCCAACACATCGCAATCTTGCAACCCCAGGTGAAAATTTTCCAAGATCTATGGATTGAGTTCGAACTATCTCTAATGCTCGACCACGAACAGCGGCTGTAACTTAAATAGTGGTTATACTCATCTTTTTGGCACTAATTGCATTACAAATGGTTCTAAAACAATTCAAGGCAACTAGTCTAATAATTTTTTCCCATTTGACTATTATAATATAATTGGGCATGTGATGCTTGAGTAAAGAACGGGTACATGAATGAACCGAGACCACACTGACTAAGAGTGATCATGAGGTTATGATGGTTGAGAAAGACTTAAAATGTAAGACCCTAGATTTTAGCTATCTAAAGTCCTACTATCATTTTAATCTAAGCTCATATGCGAAATATAACTCTTAAAACATTCTCATTTAAATAATTTCAAACGTAAACATACTTTATCATTGAAAACATCATCATGGTCTTACCTATTCAACACATAATTCAAAAAATGAAATAACAAAAAACAGTAATGAAATAAATTTAAAACATGAAAAGCATAACTACCCATTCTAACCTAATTCTAGGAAATTAAATATGTTATCTCATATGCATATGCCATGGTCTCTGATTTGCGATGCTACCGTCAACCGTATAGGGGCGCCTTGCCTTTACTTGAAGAATGATGTAGCACACGCCTAAGTATTTCAAAGAATACTCGGTAGCTAACCCCACTACAAGGGGCCGTGAAAAGATGAAAACACATGCAATAATGCTCTAGGGACTTATCATTAAAATATCCTAGGGGTGACCTCCAGTCCGGACTAAATTGGATGTGCATTATTTCCCTACACACGACCCACACGTGCGAGTGTGAAACTCCAGACGGTTCGCACGCCCCTGAACCCATCATAGTTGAACTAGTTGTCCATAGCGACGTCTGGATGTAAAAAGACTCCGGAGAGTCATACTCGACATGATCACCGTCATCATCATAGCGTACACGTCCATACTCGTCATCGTAAAAGGGAAAGTATCCTTATGCTTATGTACATACAGAAATGCATGAGGTCTTTATGGTTTCTCGTCTTTAAAACGTATTTATGACACAACCCTGGTTGCATCCTTATATTACTATTAGTAATATATGTGCATGAACTTTCCATCTTAATATCATAAATAATATTTTGTAAAGGTTGTATCATAGGCCGAATTACCTACATCATGCAATCTAGCATTCACAACATGCATCTTAACTTAATATGGAACATAACATCATATTAAGGAAATAACATCATGTATTATCATATAACTCATACAAATCTCGATCCGAATCTCAAGCATGGGGCATGACAAGAAAAAAAAAATCATTTTCATTTCATTCTAAATCAACAATAAATAGGTGGATATTGAGATATTTAAATCTCTAATTTCTTAATTGAAGATATAATTAAGGTAGCTAACCATTTACAAAAAAAAAAAATAGTAATAAATAAGAAAGTTTAAACTTCCAAGCATAGTTAATTTATGATCGAAAAAGTTATATATTCAAATGTAAAAGGTTTCATTTTGTAGGAGAGTGGCCACAAGTGAAAGAAAATTCTAATAAAAGTTAGAATTTTAATTTTAATATTTGTTTAAAAAAAGTTCTTAATATGCTTAATTTTAATTGGTCACTTAAATTTTCTACGACCACTTCACTATTTGGTGCACTACTAGGCTAGAAGGCAAAGTGGCAGTAATCACAGGTGCGGCCAGCGGAATTTGGGAGTCCACAGCAAAACTCTTCTTTAAGCATGGAGCCAAAGTGGTGCTTGCAGACATCCTCGACGATGTCGGTCACTCTCTTTCCCGCCATCTCTGTTCTTCGTCATCTTCGTTCGTCCACTGCGACGTAACGAAAGAGAAAGACATCGAAAATGCGGTTAACACAGCCATTTTCAATTACGGAAAGTTAGACATCATATTGAACAACGCAGGCTTTTCTAAAACCCTCAAATTCAACATTCTTGAAAATGAATTATCAAACTTTCAAAAGGTAGACAACGTCAACTTACTTGGACTGTTTTTGGGCACCAAACATGCAGCAAGGGTGATGATTCCAGCTCGTCAAGGTAGCATAATCATGATGGCAAGTGGTTGCTCGATCATTGGTGGGATTGGGCCGTATGCGTACATGAGCTCAAAGCATGGCTTGTTGGGATTGATGAAAAATGCAATGGTTCATTTAGGACGATATGGGATAAGGGTTAATTGTGTGTCGCCCCATGTAGTGCCCTTGCAAATGACTAGGGACTTGTTTAAGCTTGAAGATGGCGATGAGTTTCCTAATATTTATTCGCATTTCAAATGTGGAGATATTTTAAGGACAGAAGATATAGCTGAAGGGGCTTTGTATTTAACAAGTGATGCATCGAGATTTGTGAGTGGACATAACTTAATTGTTGATGGAGGCTTCACTGCAGAAAATCAAGGTCTTTGTTCCTACCAATAATTAAGTTGAAACGAAGTTCTTTCCTAAACTTGATTATGGATTATGTTAGTAGTTTTATTTTTGTGGTTTGTGTCTCAATTGCGCTATTCCATATTTCTCATGTTTAACATTATTATAAGAATATAAATTCTAATAATGTAATTTAATTTTTTGCTGTTTAATTTCTAATTCGGTTATGGTCTCAATTTCTAATTTGAGATAGCCTAGGTTTCCTCATTACATAGGAGTAGGGCGTAATGCTATATTAATTGATATGCTCACTTGGGTTGGAGCCTATAAAGTTATGAGATTATAATCACGCCCTAATGGACGACAATGCCCTCATAATGACCTTTAAACTTTCAACAGGATGAAATGTCACTAAAAAAAGGTGTGGTAGCTCTAGAAGCATCCCAAGAATTAAAAACACGTTATTGGAGATGAAATTCCAGGAAGTGTTCCCAAGAGAACGGAAAGTTTTTGTATTCACCATCCACAAGAGGATGTTCGTGAGTAGACACTCGTAGTCGCGGTTCAGTACAGTTATCGCCGAACTACATAGTAATTTAAGTAAGGAAAAGGGACAAGAGGATGTCCAACCGTGAAAATCAGGAATAAGAAACTTTCATGGCCAAAATTTGTTAAGGAAGGGAGAATTTGTAATACTCGAGCCGTAGCGGGATTAAATACCTAATTTTTTTTCAAGCTCAAACTTTTAAGATTTTTATCCTATGAACCGGAAACCGAGCCGAGTCACTGCAGATTCAGAAAAAACAACCGAATCCAACTTAAAAGACTAATCCAACCCAACTCAATCTTTATAATTCAGGTTGGGTTGAACTGGGTTGTTGAGTTGTCGGATTGGATGTATACCTGACAAGTGGATTTGTATGTGAACTGAGTGGTCACTGCCAAAAGTCGATCATTTGGTGGGCGACATTGCTGTTGGTAACTGTTACAAAACACGAACCACTCACTCACTATCTTTCATTTCCTTCATTATCCCACAAATGTCAAAATGATTACTTCGTTCTTGTCTTCTTTTTATAAATAAAATCCCTTTTCTTTTTTGTTTTTTTTTCCTTTTTTGATAATATTTTAGATGTTTAAAATTAATATAGTTTAGTTTATTAACTTCAACAGTTTTTATACATTTTTGTAGTGAAACAATATTCTAGTGAATATTTGATTTGCTTTTATTAATTTACCTTTGAATTTGAACATCATCTACTCATTACCGTTTTCTTTGAATAGCTAAATTTTTTATCAAAATTAGCCAATAGGTTGACAGGACTCGTGTTGGTATATAGAGATAGTGTTCACTCTTAGAATCAATGAGTAAATAACATGACTATATCACAGAGAAATATCATGTCTAGACTATCAAATGCAAAATCTAAATTTTGAGTCGTAGATACGAGTGGTTACATTTTTTAAAAAAGCTACCATCTCAAAAGTTACTTTTATTGATGAGAGATTGAACACGAGGCGAACGTGTAAAATTTTGAGTGAATGGAACCAAGGACTCTTGACTCAGCTATATTGATATTCTGAAGGTTCCTTCTTACATACTCATATTTAAAGCGTTTATTCCATTTTGTATATACTACTTTTTCAAAGACAACAACAAAGTAGAGAAAGAGAGAAGAAGAAGAACAAGAGCAGCCATGGGCGTCTCCTTGCTTCCTGCTGCTGCAAGATGGTAACTCTATTTTCTCTCAAACTTCGATATCTTTTACTTCAAAAAAAATTGTATCTAAGCTTGTTCGATTAACTTTCTAACGGTATAAAAAGCGCTCTTAAAATCTAAGTTAATCCAAACAAATCTTCAATTAGCTCGTTCAAGATCATATTTTCTAAGGCTTCATAGAAGAAATTCACGGTTAAAACTCTAAGAATCAATTAGATATTTTTTTTTTAAGAGATTTGGGCTAAAATATTGTTTTTTATTTAGATCTAAGGAGAGAAATAAATATTTTAAAAGGAATTAAGAAAAGATTAGTGGTTAATTTGGGAAGACAAGAGATTTCTTACATCTAATCAAACTATATGAACAATAATAAGACATTGAAAAGTATAATAATTAAAATAATAAATTAAGGTTAATGAGTTTATGAGTTGAAGGTGGTAGCTGGTGGCAAAAAAAAAAAAAAAAAAAAA